GGGCTTCTGGGGGTGGAAGCTCTCCTGCAGCCCCCCAATTGCCCCCTCTCCCCAGATGGCAGCCAGCGGCAAGTGCAGGCGGTCTGATGGCCGAGTGCTGTGATGAGCCGAGTGTGGGCACTCAGGGCACTCCAAGCCAGGACTGCTTTGCAAGCGGGGCACCCCTGAGAACTGTCTGTCCGTGGTGGGGGTCGGGTCCCTTTAAGCACAGCCCGCGGCTAGCCTGAGACAGCAGCTCCACGCTCTAAGTCCTCATCTGATGCCCTGCCGGCACTGCTTCCGGCCATCCTTAACCCCGGTTCAGGGTCCACTTAATGTGGACATGCTAGTTCGAATTAGCAAAACGCTAATTCAAACTAGTTTTTTAGTCTGGATCCGTTAGTTCGAATTAGCTTAGTTGAATTAACTAATTCGAACTAAGTTAGTTCGAATTAGCACTGTAGTGTAGACATACCCTTAGGGAGATGATATCTTGAGGTCCCTTCCAGCCCTGGGTTTTTATGATTCTATTTTATCACCTGCATATCTCAAATTTTCTTAAAACAGCCAGCCAGGTGTGCAGTGAAGGGAAGGCAAAACCAACGTCAGGTTCCTAGGAAAAGCAAGACTAACAATTGTTTGACAAGCTTCAGATGGGGAGCTGCCTCCTTTTGTCCCCTCTGCCTCCCATTGTTTTCTTTCCCTCCCCCTCCCTTCTCGCCTATTTATATTGGTTCTGGACATACAATACTCCAGTCATCTGAAGAAGTGGGTTGTGCCCACGAAACTCATGATACCATCTACATGTTTTGTTAGTCTTTAAAGTGCTGCCAGACTATTTGCTGTTTCTTAAGTTTAATTGGTTGACAGTCCACCATTCATTTGTCGCCACACCCTTAGCAATTGCTGCAAGGAATTATTAACCAGATCCGGTGTTAACTAGCTTCACTCTTCTATGAATGGTCTGCATTTATTGGACTACCTTTGAGCTAATACATGGGGGATCAATTCCCCCCTCCCCCCCCCATGTAAATCCACAGAAGAAAATGTAGATTACCAAGGGAAAGTTGCATAAGGGATAAGTGATTGGGAGGGCCCAATCTCAGACATCTTTAAGAGGTGGGTACTGCAGCCTTTCTAAAACACTGTCTCCCAGATGCAGCAGTCATTGATTCCTTTGGACTCCATGTGACTTTATATATTCAGGAGGGGGAGACAAGGATGAATAACTCCAGGATTGTGACCAGTGTCCCCTGTAAGTTGTGCAGCCACTCAGGAGAGGTTCCAGTGCCACCCAGCTAATTAGCAGAGTATCCACAGCTAGGTTTGCATTTCTGTTGGTGGTGCACAATTTCACATGCTTCAGTGTGCACAGAAAAAATGTATTCTGCACATGGATGGAAAAAAATCTACGCAAGAATGGAAAAGATTAGAGGAAACATTGTTTGAGACTAATAATTAGGCAATGGATGGGTCCCAGGAAATAACCTTTTCATGCTAGCCTAGAACAACCACATTTCAAAAATGAAAACTTCAAAATACAACAGAATAAATTAAAACCTGAGGTCATGCAGTCAGAAATATAGAGAATTGTAGGCTTCTGCTCTTAGCTATGTTACTGACTTATGTTATGTCTAGAGTAGGGAACTTTTCTTCTGCCACATCCAAGGATCATGTCTGCTTTTCTGAAAAAAATTTCAGAAAAACAGATGCATTTTTTCAGCATCCTTGTAAACCTCGTTCTACAAGGAAGAAAGGATGTTCTGAAAGAGGGTTTTTTCCCGACATTTGGCCCCATGTAGATGGGCCAAATATTGGAAAAGCCTCTTTCGGAAGAAAAGCAGAAAAATATATGCAAATTGCGGTTTGCAATTTGAATATTTTTCCAGACTTTTCTTTGTAGACATAGCTATACTGTTTGACTCTGGGAAAGTCACTCACTCCATGCCTCAGTTTACCCATTAATCAAATCAGATGAAAGGCATTAAATGTAGTCCTTGGTTCTTTCCTTTCCCCAAGAGGTGATCTACAGAAGCCACGTTCTTTCTTTTAAAACAGTGAATTGATTTTTTTGAAATCTAACTTTCCAAAATAAAATAAAAAAGAACGAGGCTGGAGTTATATCTGTTCAATAGGAAACATTTAAATGAGACTGCACTCACAAAAAAACAATTGTCTTACAAGGGCAATTGAAAATCAAAGTGAATGGGTATTTATAGCTACTGAGCTGTTTAAAACAACAAACTGAAACTGCAACAGCAACCACTTCACAAAGTCATATTCTTGAAGAAGGGGGGAAAAAAAAGATCAAAGATCTGCAGGCAGCCAGCTCTGCATACAAGTGGCTTTATCAGCTCTTGGCTGTGTTAAAGAGAGTCAGGCATCCTGAAAGAGAAAATATTTAATGAGATGATGAATAACACTTCTTGGCCTTAATTATAAGGCTAGTACTAAGCAATAATAATTGCAGGATAAATTATCATCAAGAGATATTTCCAAATAAAAAAAATGCATGTAATTATCAAACAATTATTTTAAGCCTCATTTACATATAAAAAAAGAATAAATGTGATATTCTTTTTTTTTCTCCCTTCTACTTGTGGGGGTGGGGAAAATTTTCAGGGTGGTGCATGGGAATTAGATACACAACGCCCAGTACAGCTAATGACACCACATCGTAAGGGCAGAATTCAACCCAAGCAAAACTCAAATATTTTTTTTATTCCCGCCCCCCCCCCGCCACACACACATGATTAGGCATGTTTAATAGTGAGGATGTAAGACCTAACATTTCTCTACAAAATCATCCTTGGCAATAAATGGGGGAGAAGGTTTATCTAAGTTAGGGAATATTAGATGTTATAATCAGAAACTAAGGGCGTGATCCAAAGTCCAGTAAAGAAAATGAGGACTCCAACTGAATCAATAGGCTTTAGATCCACCCCTAGATTCTGAATGATTAAAAGAGGAATTATTTTAGTTACAAAACAGATTAAAATTCAATCAGTTCCACTACTTTTTTCACTATAAAGTTCACTGACAATGAGGCACAGTTAGTGTACTAGCTGCTGGTTTTAATAAATGAGAGCCAAGACTCTCAAAATAGAGAAAAATGCACAGTTCCTATTTCAAAAGCTCCCTCTAGCTTTCCCTAACTGTTTGTTACCAGATTTTTTCCTGATGATCTGCTAGAAAAAACAGTGCAGAGTCAAAGGTGGTCTCATCAGCCTTAGAGAAACACAAGCAGATATTGTATAACCAATTTCAAGTGAGTTTTTAATTTGCAAAAGCCACACAGTTAAGAAGATGCTAAAACCCCACCCCCTTCTTTTGATTCAAGATCAAAGAAATTTTTATAAAAGTGACATAACCCTTAGATGTCCTAGAAAACCACATTTACCACTGAATTAACCTGCTTCAGTCTCTGAGCCTCACACACATACAGAGAACTAGAACAGAGTTGGAGAAGCCAGTTACATTTCAACTGTGGACACATCTGAAAAAAAAACAAGAATAGGTCAATCCCCCTGAAACTTAGTGCTAGTACATCATAGCCATTGTGGAGGGATAAAGGATCCCTTGATAACAGAGGTAGGATTATAGGACCAGAGCCTTAGCTGGTGTAAACTGATGTCATTCTACTAACTTCATTGGCACTACACTGATGTACACCATTAAATCTGATACATAGACTCCAAACTGGTAGAAGCCAGTAATATTGCAACAATAGTGTGCTCAGACTCTCACAAGACAGATCCTCCTTTCTTACCTTCCTCAGGGATTGGTCAAAGGCTCTGGTGGCTGCACAGATGACCTGAGAGGAAGTAGAAAGAAGCAGTTGGAAACGGGGAGTGGCCAGAGCTGAGGAGCTGCTCCCAGACCCCCAGCTCAGGCTCTGCTGCCCCCTCTCCCGCCCCCTCCTGCACCTGGGGCGTGCTTAGCTTCTGCTGTCCCCTCCCCCCCACATGCGGCGCTCTTGGGCTCTGCTGCCCCCCATGCGCTGCTGCTCTCTCTCCCCTGCGCCCCTCCCCAGCCTGCTGGGGAAGTGGCAGAGTTTAATCTGGCGGGGACGGTTGGGGTTTCTACTCTTCCCCCTTCTCCCCCCGGTCCTGCCAGAGGGAAGCCTGGCCTGGTGCTGCAGCTGCAGCTGCAATGGGTTCCCTGCTGCATGGGCAGGAGTGGGGGGGACAGAGCTCTCCATCCCTCCCCCCCCACCCCTAAGAACAAGAGCATACTCCCTGGAGTCTTTCCCTGCTGCAGCAGGGTGCCAAGCCATGCAAGCATCCCTCCTCATGCCAAGACCCCAGACCCAAACCTCCCTTACTCCCCTCCCCCTATCAAGACTCCACATTCCCAGATTGCTCTGATACCCTGCCCCAAGTCCCCTCCTGCACCCTCCCTCCTGGCCAGACACATGACCTTATTTAGCATTTGTTTATTATTATCCTTACTTTTTTGTGGTCTATGTTTTCAGACTGTTATTAGGGGAGTCTTCCTGTGGGGGTCATGGCGCATTTCGACCCTCAGGTCTCCCAGATCCAGTGGGTTGTTTTTTTGAGCTCGACAAAAACATCCGTGGTGTTCCCTATAAAAAAATGATTGCCTTAAAAAGTGTAATAAACACTGGTATAGACGCATTTGGTGAGTAATTCTATGTGTAATGATGCGTGTGGACTTGATTTGCGAGAATCAAATCCAAAACATTTCCCAGAAATGAGGACCTGATCAGCCCCCTCTAGAAAAAATGTGTGAAGCAGGAAAACACCCCCAAATGTACTGCTAAGCCGTAAAATGTATTACACTCCTAACAGCTGAGATTCTCAGCAAGACACAGTGGGGAGAACTGACTAATGTGGGGGAAGGGAAAGTAATGTGAATGTACTTCAGAATCCCTTCAGACACTGCACAGGACACTGGAGGTAAATACAGGGCTGGCTTTACCATGAGGCGAACTGAGGCAGTCGCCTCAGGTGCCAGACTGTGGAGGGGGAAGGGGAAGCACCACTAGGACCCAGAGAATTTTTGGCCCAAGCAAGGGAGCATGGGGGCGTCATTTGAGCTCCCCACATCAGGTGCCAAAATGTGTAAATCAGTCACATCTGAGATTAGGGAGCAAGTCTGCTCATATAGCTCTAAGTGCCCAGACTGAGGCTTTCACAGGGCATTGACTTTGAGTGTGCATGTGTACGTATGTGAGGAATGACAGAGAGCAGGCAAGTCGCTGCTGGCCCGAACTGGATCAAAGCCCTATCTTGATGACACACGGTGGAAATTCTCTGTTAGTTCCAGCTGTAGAGACCTGTGGTTTTGGACTTGAAGTGCAAAGGCGTAATCCTCCTCCTGCAGGTGCGTGTGTATCCACCCAGCCTATAGGTTTCCAGCAATCTATCCTCTTGGGCTTTTATGGCCCTTCTGAGAGTGTGAGTGTCTGTTTTGTGAAGCACATACATTCATTGCTCAAGAGGCTGCACTAAATAGTGCTGCATAAACCTGGCCAAAATTTTGGCAAGTACATGTAGATATTCCAGGTGGAAACACCTGAGCACGTGCTAATAAGTCCATGCACTATTCTGATACTCACAAGAGTGCAAGTGTTAGCATTTGTCTCCATAAACCCACTGCAGTTTTAACTAGCTCCCTTTTTTGAAGTGACATTTAGGAAGCAGCTTGTGAACTAAGAGATTTGGCCTTGGCCAGGCCCACTTATGGGAAGGCCATTTGCATGTTTCTGATGGAGTGCTCCAAAATGAGCAAGTATGAAACTCACCATTTCAGTTGTTTGCACATGTCAGACAGGAACATGGGGGCATGCTAGGTTGAATACCTAACTCTCAGTTAGGAGCCACAGGTATTGGAATGAACCTTAGGACAGGAGCTAGTAAAAGATGAGGGCGCACACTTAGTGATAGTGACAGCGTTAATGCCCTTTTCAAAACCGACAATCTAGGCACCTTCAGTGGAAATCACTCAGGTTATGTCTATACTACAGAGTTTTTTCGGAAAAACTCGCGGAGCATCCACACCGCAAGTGTGTTTTTGTGTGAAAAAATTAAAAGAACAGAGGGGTTTTTCCAGTGTAGGTACTCCTCATTCGACAAGAAAGAACACCTTTTTGCGAAAGAGCTCTTTCGCAAAAAGGTGTGTGTGGATGGGAAAGAGGGGTTTTTTTGGTGCAAAAAGAGGTAAAAGGAAAATGCACAGGTGCCCTGGTGGCCCTTCTGTGTATAGCAATCAGAGCTTACTTTCGAGAAAGAGTCCATGCAGTTTGGACACTCTCTTTTGCAAAAGCGCATTGTTTTTTCGATGCGCTTTTGCAGCATGGACGTGCTTTTCAGAAGATCTCTTCCGGAAAAGCTTCTTCTGAAAGAAGCCTGCAGTCTAGACGTAACCATAGAGAGCGTAAGATCTAGCACAGCTGATTGAAAATTGGAATTTCCATTCTGTAAGAAATGCCAATGATTTGAAATTTTGTTTCCACCCTCAATCTCCAACAGTGAATTATAGTCATGTGACTCCCATCCTGCAGCAGACCCAGTCTGTTACAGAGAATGGAGGCAATAGGCATCAGACCAGCTCAGGCAATGCAGATTAACATGAAACTGACCTGAAATTAAACATTTTGATTCGGTTCAATAAACCCACCCCAAAATGAAACGTTTCATTTCAATTTTTCTAACAGATGATCAAGGAAAAGTTTTGATTTTGTTGCAAACTGTTTTCATGGAGAAAACTATTTCTACAGCAAATCCCCAACCAGCTTTGATGTCCAGCCTACCAAAGTCCAGGGAATGGTCTAGAATAGTAGAAGTCCTTAAGCATAAAAGAAAAATCAAATCACTTCTGTTTTGAGCACCCGAGTTATATCTATCAACCCAATGCAACTGCCAGTGAAGCCACGGAACAACTCTCTTCTGGTGGAATGGCACCAAACCCTATATAACTAGAGAAATATGCATAAATGTGGTGTTTCTACAAAATAAATCATCTGACTCCTTCCTATACAATTATCATCCCTACTGACTCTTCCAATTACTTTATTGCTCTTGTGAATTACACAGATGATACATTATAACCTCATCCTATTTCTACAGGTATTCTCAGGAAACTGCAATGTCTCAGCATTAAAACAAAGCACTGCACGTTATGCAATAAAACAGAAGTTTATAATGAAGTTAAAAATTGGGAGCTTTATGAGAAAGTTAAAATTGTCACAGAGAATGGGTGCAGGAAGATTTATTGCATTAACAATGTGCACTAAAATGAAAAGATTAAATAAAAAAAGCAAAGTCTTTTATAGACTGAAGGAAACGTAGAGAAGCGTCAAAGCCATTTGGCCACAAATTAGACCCATCATTTTTGCTTTGCAGGTCCTGTCTTTCCCATGATTTTTTTCTGCACAGGAATGGAAACAACAGAATGAGGAGACCAGGAGCCTGGACCCCCTAAAAAAAAAAAAGAAAAAGAAAAAGGAGAGCACATTTCTGAAAGAGTATAAAAGGATGTATAGGGAGTACCTTTTAGGTGTGGCAGTAATATCACTTGATGTCGCTAATCATGGACTGTATAAATTGTGCAGCACAGATTGTACTCATGTTGCAATGTAAACCTACCATTTGGGTACATGTGCTCATGCCCAAGTAGCATGTCCACACTAGTATAACTTTGTTAGCATGACTAAAAGTGCAGCAATGCAGGCTGCACCATGGTCTGAACAAGCACGACAGATGCCCAGGTGTGATACACCCAAAGGCACAGCAAACAAGGTTCTCTTTAGAGTTAGGTCCCTGTTTCTCTACGAAAAAGACTCTCTCCTTTCCCCTTTCAGTGGCATTATATGTAGGGTGACTATATTTCCCAAAAGGAAAATGAGACACTGTGTGTGGCTAGCCCGAATGCCTTTCCTTCCCCTGCACAGGGTTGGTCCAAGGCTCCCCCCCAAAATGCGGGACTGGTTTTGCTGCACACCCATATACTACCTGCCCCCTGCACTAGACTGAGGCTGGCGTCACTGCTCACTGGAGCCCTGCCCACACCCTGTCTGCGCTCTGCCTCCCTCACTGTGCAGACTGGCCTTGCCCTTCCCTCCCCCCTGCACAGTCCACCATACCCCATCTTTTTGTCAAACTTGAGCATTTGTCCAACCAATCGGGGCTTAAAAAAGGGACGGTCCCAGCCAAAATGGGACATATGGTCACCTTACTACACTCTAATAGGTTCAGTGTTGGTGGGTTCCAGTTTGTGCCTACATAAAAGCACACACACCAGACCTCCATAGCAGGGTGTCAATGGCTAATGCAAAGAGGATCTTTTCGGTAACATACACGGAACTGAAACTGGACTAACGGGGTTTTGCAGACATCTGAGCAGACTACCAAGGTTGTTTTGCCATAGCCTTGTCAGTTATCTCACTTAAATGTTTGGTTCAGCCATCTTCATTTTCCCCATTGATTTGAATGGGACTCCTCGCAGAATAAATTCTGACGCAAGAGGAGTAAGTACAGCAGATCCTGTGAAATGTATCTTTGAATACCCTCAGGTCCCATCCTAGAGTTCTCATTTAACATCCTGTGGGGCGCAAGACCAGTTTGCGTCTACTTTTTATGTTGCGATCTTTATTAAGAAAGACAATCAAGAAAAGCTCTGACAGAAATAAAGAATCAGAAGAGAATTCCTTCCCTTACATTCAACAGACTTGAGAAGTCTCCACCATGGAAAGGCAATAGGCTTGATCCTCACAAGATGTACATCGAAGCCAGTGGAACTTCATCAATTCATAGGGACTCAACATGTGGCGTATAAAATAGAGACACAAAGTGTATCTCCCATAAATTCCACAAATGCTTTCTGATTCCAAGTGACTCCAAGTGTTTTCATTGAAACAATTCCATTCTCCAGCATGTCTCCCAACTTGGGTCTCCTCATGTACTCTCGTTTAGGAACATTTGCTGCACCTGGATGTTTCCATTTTCCTTGAGATTTCAAAATAGTTGGCATTGGTTAACTTGGAATATTGCTAGTTAATTGCAGGCTTGAAAAGAAATTCTGAGCAAGGGAACCGTTCTGGGAGGATTTAGTGTATTTGAATTATTTAGACCCCTGCCGCTCATGTGACAGGCTTGTTTTTCTCTTGCAGGAGCCTGCTGCTACAAGAATTAAAACTGTCGGGGCACGCTAAGGCCTGGGCTAGGCTTTAGTAATGAGCTTTAGCAGTCAAGAAATGATTTTATACAACAAATTAAACTGTTCATTTGTTCGGGGGGAGGTAAATATTTAGAGAATAAAGATATCTCGGTAATGAGAAGGACTGGGTGGGAAGAAATGTAACACGAATGTCAATCCTTTAAATCTTCAGCATGCTACGATTTTATAGAATGTTTACTGCCATTGTCTTCCATTATTTCTTCCACCTCATCCAACAGGAATGGAACACTCTATTTCCACTGTATTTACAGATGCGTGGGGTGGAGATGAGATGTGGCTGCTGGATTTTGTGTTGGTCAGAATTCCAAAGGCACATTTGGCTCTAAAGCACGAATGTCCAACCGCCTGATGTAGAAAGCATTATCGTAGAAAAGCACGTTTCAG